TCCGACCCAGGAGGGGACGGCAGGGCTCAGGTCTGCTGGCTCCCGCCTCCCAGATCCAGCTGGGCCTGGCCAGTGGGCAGCTGGGCAGGAAACTGGACAGTGAAAGGAAAGCAGGGTCCAACATGGCTCCGCATCTCGATCTCTGCAGGGAGCCCCAGGCTCAAGTTTGTGTTGGAAGCAACCCAGAGCTACTATATTCTTTACTATATTCTACACTGTATTATTTACTGTATTACTATATAGTTACTATATTCTGCACTGTCTCCACACTTTTCTTACAGAAAGCCCAGCTGGAGCCTACCTTCTGAAACTCTGTTGTGTAAATGCTCTCAATTCTGATATTTATTGTTTAATCTAATTATAAGTTCTGATGCTGCTGTGAGGACAGATAGCACCATCTGAAGCTGCTGAGTGCCAGGGCCATCAGTGTCTCGAGCACATAGCCATATTCTATTCTAAGATATGTTTAAAAGTAGACAAGCTTATGTACAGTGAAGGTTCTCTCCAATCCTACCGTTACCATTGGTAAATTCCTACCCTACGTTTTATACGCAAAGATACATTTTTCACAAAATTGGGGCCATTTTATACATTCATTCGTTCTTCCACTAATTCACGAATTCATTCAACCAATACTGACAATGACCTCTGTGCCAAGACCAAGCAATGAGCAAGGTAGACAGCCTCTGTCCTCTCGAGTCAGACGAGTCGCGGCAGAGTAGGGAGCAAGCAGAGTTTCCAATTGTGAAAAGTGTTGGCCAAAGAAAAGTAAGAGAGGCCAGGCATGGTGGTGCTGCCTGTAATCCTAGCACTCAGGAGGCTGAGGCAGGAGGATCACAAATTCAAAGCCAGCCTGGGCTACACAGTGAGCTCAAGACCAATCTGAACTACATAGTAAGACCCTGTCGGAAGGAAGAAAGGAAGGAAGAGAGAAGAGCAAAGCAAAGCAAGGCCGACGAGGCATGCATGTAGGAGAGGTAACCATTGATGGGAACTGTTGAACCATGGTCACAAGGCTGTGATGGCCCAGGAGGGGATTCTGCATGGAGGGGAGCAAGTGGAAGGCCTTCCCACCCCAGGCAGGAATAGGCCTGGCCTGGATGCACGGACTGCTACCCTGCCATTTCCCCTCAGCCTATCGGGAACATTCCCTCTTACATTCATTCACGCGGGGCGTAGTTACTGGGTCCTGCTATGTGTCATTATTGACAAAATTTGCCCGTGAGACACTTACATTTTAGCTCGGAGAGACAGAGACAATTAAAAACTGAGAAAATATATCAGTGGGTAAAGGGAAAACTGAGACAATTAACCCATTCATGCCAAAGACTATAATTTCTTTAATTTTTGCATGAAATTCATGTATGTTACCTAGAAAAATTCAAGGAATAAGAATTTGAAGGGAAAGATTTTCATTATGCTCCACTATAATGGGTGTTCCAAAAATGGAACACTAGGCATGTAAGGGTTAAAACTAAAGTCCAGAGAGAATTTATTCGGGGGTTGCTGGTTCTGTATGCTTGTGAGGAAGGCACCTGGATACAAGACAGTGTGAGCAGACTTTAAGGAAGAAAAGGAGCCAGCCAAGCAAGTGCATGGGGTGCGGGTCCTGGCTAACCCGCCTCCCACAGGTTCTCGTGCGTTTGGACAGCAGGTGGGAGGCCCGGGTGGCTGGAGAGCAGAGCAGGACTCAGGACCGAGGCAGCTGGAGCCTGCATGTGTTTTGAGGCGCCCAGAGCAGTTCTGAGCGGAGGATGTAAATGCAGCACATTAAATAGAACAGCTCTCCCACTGTGCCGGAGCAAATGGACTGCATTAAGTCATGTTCTGCAGCACTATTGTTAATGGATGTACTGATTTCCATATTGTCAGACACATACCTAGTTTCCAACTTTTAAATTATTTTTAAATGCTGCAGCTCTGTGCTCTTATTCAAAATCTCCATCTTTCCCCCTCTGTAGATATAAATTACGGAAGGGAGATGGCAGGGCTGTGTGCCCGCTCCTCTGCGTCGGGCTGTTTCAGTTGTTGTTGATGATGTTCCTAGGCCGGTGATTACTCAAGTTTCCATTCACTGCTCACTATTTGCTAGGATAGTGATGCTCATTTTATTTATTGTATTTTCTTTTTGGTGCTCACAACCATCCTATGAGATGTTACCCCATTTACTGAGAGGCAAACAGGCTCCAAGTGGGCTGGTGAATCCCCTCAGCACACAAGGCTGGTCAGTATAAAGTTGGGGATGCAAACCCAGTTCTGTCTGATGAGAGTCCAAGCTTTCACCTCCTGGAAGAGACAGTTCACACAGATCCCTCTTTACAAGGTGGTACTCAGAGACAAAAGTGGGTCAGCGTCCAAAAGCACCGTATTTAGTCCAGCGACAGATCCTTGACTGCAATCATGAAGTTGCATCACTATTTTTCTTTATAAATCAAGTAGGACTTCACATCCAGCCTGGGAGAACCTTTTTAGGAAGAGGCCAGTGGCCGGCACAGCATCCGGGACCCTGGACCTACTGACTTGTGACTTCCACCAAGCCATTTAACCTCTTGGTGTAGCTGTTCCCCCAGTGGCACAGTGAGAGCAGGACTGGCATCTATTTCATGTGCTGCTGTCAGGATTAAATGAGCAAATACCTGTGAACTAGGAATTATACTTAGTGTATAGTAAGTGCTCAATAAATATTAGCTATTACTAGTATTTGAAAAATAAATCTAAAAGGGTCAGCATGATTTTCTCCAACTTCCAATTGAAAGGTCTTTGCTACATTCTATTCTTATCTCACCATCCTACTGGCCTCTTAAAAAGTCTGCTTCTAATAATATGACCACCACTATCCCATAGTTGGGTTATATGTTAATTATGGGCCCTAGCCAATACATGATAGCAGAAGCAGAGAGCCCTCATTGTACATGTTTTTATGTTCCAAAAGGCTTTGCTCAAGACTTTTCACAGTACTCAAAACTCACCATTTGAGCTGGGCATGGTAGCACATGCTTATAATCCTAGCACTCTGGGAGGCTGAGGCAGGGTAGTTGCAAGTTCAAGCCCAGCCTGGGCAACTTAGAACTCAGAGAGACCTGGTCTCAAAATAAAAAGAATAAAAAGGGCTAGGGATGTAGCTCAGTTGGATGGACCTGGGTTCACTCTACAGTATTACACACACACACACACATGCACACGAAACCAAACACTTGAATGTGTGAATGAATCAATGAGAAAAAGTGCCAGGCTGTACATGAACACAAAGTTGTAATTTGATACAGTCATTGTGTCTTATTTATTTGTCACCATTCTTCCAATTTTTAATTGGAGTTTTTTATTTCAAGTGTTCTTATTAATGTTAAAAAACAACTATAAACTTAGAATTTATTTGCTTGTTTTTTTATATCTCTAATTCAGTTCCCCAAAATCTTAAGATGGCTTACAAAGGTGTATAAAACTAAAGATGAAGCTAATTAAAAATGAGGATTCAAGGGGAGAGAGGGATGGGTACAGAGGCAAAGTAAAGAACAAGTTTAAAATACCCACGGCCTAAAACCCTGTAACTGACCCTGAACTGGCCTGAAATGTTTGAAATGTTCCGGATCAACATGAAAAGGTAAACTAGTGAGTACGTAATTCACAGCAGCCACAGGGTGAGCCGATTGCTCCGAAGACTTGGCCGTGCTTAGCTGGGACCCTCCAGATGCCCACCACAGGGTCACACCTGGCACCTCCAGCACCTGTCCAGGGTGGGGGTCCCTGTGCAGACCCTGGCGTCTGGGTGAGCATCATCAGACACGCCGCAAAGGAGGGCAACCAGCACATCAGATGCATCGCATCCCGGGCAGGAAAGAAATGCAAGCCACATTTTCCACGTGGAGGATTTATTATTTAGAGTAAAAGAGCAGCCTATTTCTGTTGATGTATGAAATATATAATCTCCCTTTCCGGGCATATGCTTTTATTATTTTAGGTAAGCAGCAATACTGTCTTTATAGTAGTCGAATATAAATGCTGTAAACCTGAAAAATTATCCTGCTCTGCTAGACTGTGATCTGCTGAGGAATTAGACATTTACTCCCTTCGTTCCCCTCTCTGAGCCAGGAGAAAGGACAGAGAAGTGGCCCCTTCACATGCTTGGAGAGGTTGCTTCAAAGCACTCATTCATTCCTTACATCAGAGAGATTTTACTTGAAAAAAACAGACAGTTCTTTCCACTACACGAGTGCCGGGTGGTGTTTAGGGTCAGACAGACCCGGGGTTGTGCTGTGGTTCCAGCACTTCCTTTGTGTTGCCTTATACCTCTTGGGGCCTCAGTTTCCTCACCTTAAAATGGGAAATTTTACTGTATGAACCATCTTATAAACTTCTGCCTCCAGAACTAGGCCAATCCAAATTTCACAAATACTGTCTACCATGATTGTGGTAAGGGTAACTTTATATAAAGCTTTTTAACCATAGTAGACACAAAACAGTGTAGCTATTATTGTCCTCTTCTTGATACAGTTCCAGGCATAAAATAGATAATGCATAAGTTCATTAAATCAACAAGCAGGTGCACACACGACTATTGCCATCTGGGAGACTTTGCCAATTGGCAGTCTCTCTTAATGTTTGAAATCACAGAGTTTAGAGGAGTAGTCAGGATGCCATTGCTAATTATCTGTGGAGTCTCAGTCAAGCCAGATCCCATTCTGTGTCTCACCTTACCATCTAAAGTAGAGTGATAGCAGTAACTGTATTATAGAAATGTTGTAGGAACTATTAGATGAGGATTATAAAGTCTTGGCATTATGCCTGGAACATAGTAAACATTTGACAAATAGTATTATTATTTATCTTATGTAATTCTATATCACAAAACTTTTATTTGCTTTCAACATGTTTCTCCTAGTCCTAACGCTATGGAATCCTGGAACTTCCCAAAAGGCAAGCCAAGTCTTTGTATGAGCTAGCTGATCTGTCCCTCTGACTCACACTGATTTTCCCTTCCCGTTCTGTCCTTGTTTCTGCAGGACTTCGTTGTAACTGTGGTTTTCTCATTCTTGTGGCTGGTGGGTTCATCTGCTTGGGCAAAAGGGCTGTCTGATGTCAAAGTTGCAACAGACCCCAAAGAAGTCTTGTTATTAATGTCAGCTTGCAAGCAGCCAGCTAACAAGTGCATGGCGGTCCACAGCCCCGTCATGTCCAGCTTAAACACCTCTGTGGTGAGTATGCTACCTCCCCTAGTCTTTACCAGTCAATAAACAAGAAAGATATCTCCAAAGCCATCCTGTAAATTTCTGCCTCCAGAACTAGGCCAATTAAAAATGGTGATATTTCACTCCAGGTACAAGATGAGCATTTGACCTTCAAAGTTTTTATTGTCTAATCCATATACTTTAATGTCTCCAGTTATGGCATTATTAATAAAAACCCAGCATGTATCAGTGTCTACTACTTAGATGACAGTTGAGTTAAAATTGTAATCCAGAAGCACATATAAAGTGTGAATGTTAGATTACGACAAAGGAGTATTTGATGGTGTAGAAGTTTCCTGGGAGGAAAATATTTAAGCCAAACATAGTTAGAATATGCCCATTTGATGGAAGAAAAATATGCACTTAGTAGAGTACAAAAAGAGACAAATGGCATAAAAAAGTACTTATAATAGTCATGATAATTTTTTATCTTCTTCATACACCTGGTTTAGTTGCTTGAAAACTGCTCTAGTTATTTCCTCATTATTGGGACAAAATACCTGATACCAACAAGTTAAAGGAGGACAGGTTTATTTTAGCTCCCAGTTTATAGAGGTTTCAATCCATAGTCAGCTGGCTCCAAAACAAGGTGGTATGACAGAGGAGAAACAGTCCATGGTAGTGCAGGCAGGAGGCAGTGAGACTCCCTTTCCCTTTTATCCCATCCAGGCTTCAAGCCTGTTGGTTGGTACCACCCATACTTAGGATAGGCCTCCCCATTATCCACACCCAGAACTGTGCTACACACTCAGAACTGTGCTAAATCAATCAGTAGGCTAATTTAGTTATCACAGACACTTAATCTATCCACCTCTGAGAATTTGGGGGGACATCCAGATACAAGCCATAACAATAGCTTTAAAAAAGATGCACTATATTAGCTGAACAAAGTCAAATATCATCAAGTGTATGGCTCTTACAGGAAGAGAGAAAATCTGACAGTTAGCAAAGATGCTAAATTGCATTCTTAATTTATTTAAGGGTAAGAACTTGTGTTATTCCAAAGAAAGAAGGTGTGTCTGAAAAAGACATGAGCTATAATGGCAGCAAAACAGCATTTATCAAAGAATAAGAGGATCAGCAGTGTTTGTTAAAAGAACAACATTCTTTAGCAAACCCTAAAAATAACTATCTTTGCTTCAAGGTTAGCCTGCCTTTCTAGAGCTTTCTGAAATGCAATCTGGAAAGGCACTTACAACAGGGGAAGGCGTTGCCCTTCAGCTCCTGATGATGTGACTGTAATCCTATGTTAAAATATCACGTTATTTTTATTTATTGTCACTCACACCCACAGATGACTACTTTGAGGGGAACATTAATATATGTATTATTGCTCCTGTGGTTTGTTTATAGACAGTAATAACAAAAGTGGTTGTGAGTTATATATCAAAATCTAAGAAAAGATAAAATTGCCTAACGTGTTTGTGGTTTAATAGTCAATCTCCCAATAAACTGTGACATCTTGCCTGGTCCTTTTAATTCTACTTCAGTGTCTTTAACAATTTTTAGACTACAAGACAGGAATTAAGAATGCAAAACAATGTGATATGTCTCCTAAAACCAAAAAGAGGAGTGGACTGAAATCAAATAATGGGATGTGTACTGGAAGATGGGCCTAGTGGTGTCCTAGTTATGTGTCTATATCAGTGAAGGGTCTTCTAGTTCCTCTGTCAGAAACTCAATCCAGGCTTCCTGAAGCAAAAGAACCCTCATATCCTTTACGTCTGTTCTTTGGAGCCCACTTCTGGTACCAGTGTCTGTTTGCATCCAAATATTTGGGTTGCATATAAGAGAAACTGTCTCTAACCTCATCCGGGAACAAACAGCCTTTGGAAAGATGTCGAGTAGCTCATAAACTGATGAGACCTGGAGAAACAAGAAAGGGCGAATCTAGAGCAGAGCCAGGGTCTGGATGTCAGATGCCAAAGAAAGGCACTTGGAGCTGCCGTTAGGGGAGTTTCCCTAACACTGCGTGTCTCTGCCTGAGCCATTTGACTGAAACAGCTCTGCGAAGGAAATCAGATTTATGTTATCCACATCAGGGAAAACATAACAATTGTTCTAAATTACAAACATGTTAGTCTTCAAGTCACACTGAGCTACTATATGCAAAATCTGAAAATAACTGGAAAAATACTAGAAATGTGCCTTCCCGGGGTAGGATCCCGAGCTGGGGCCTGAGGGACAGTCAGGAAACTGGACAGTCCTCCTCCTCCTCCTCCTCTTGTCTCTGCCTCTTCTGTTCCCCCGCGTCTTTCTATTGAGTGTGTCTCACCATTACTGAGACTAAGACATCATTCTGTCTTTCCAGATAGACTTTTATTATTTTCCTGCACACGTGGCAGAAGGTGGTCACCTTGCAGTTTCGAAGTTTATATTCCCTTTATAAAGCAGCATGGAGTGGACCAACACCACTCCAGTCCAATTCTAAGCATCTGGTAAAGAGAACCTCATTAACCCACCTTGGGCTGGGTCTCTCATCAGTGCGCATGGGACTTAGGGAAGTCGTGGGTCCAAAACAGGCTCACAGAACTCAGCCTGCTTGGCAAGCGCAGGTTTGGGAGAAGTCAGATGCACACCACTACAAGGGGCCTCCACACGTGAAGGGCAGGACAAAACAATAATCATGTTTCCTACTTCGAGAACAGATTACTTTCGCAAAGTGCTTGGGCATCTATAATTTTACAGTAACACTAAAAAGGACTGCTCTGTCCAAGTACTGCAAATGCGGGAAGCTGAGGTTAAAGAACTTGTGTCAGGTGGCCCTGTTACCACCGCTAGAGTCAAACTCCTAGTGCTGCTACCTCCCCAAAGCATTGAAGGCACAGTGCTAGAGTTAGTCTGCAAGCATTTGAATCCTGGCTCACCTGTGTGATAATGGCCCTTAGAAAAACTAATTTGGCTCTCTAAAACATTGTTATCTGTAAAACAGGGATAATTATAGAAAAGACCTCAAGACTGCTCAAAGGATTCAGCAGGATAAGCCAGGAAAAATACCTAACATGGTACCCAGCATATGGCACTCAGTAAGTGCAACAAAATGGCAAGAAGCAATTCAAGGACCCATGTGCCCCTAAAATGCGCCAGCCAAGAGATTTGGGATATGTCTGTGATGACAATGCCTTGGGAAATCAGTGCTCCTCAAATATGTCCCTGCCTGTGTCTTCTTTATGTTCCTACTTTGAAGTTGCATTTCCTCAATTTTTGGGTTCTTCTTGAGCATCCCTTTTTAAAACGCTAACTAGCAGTTGGAAAGGCGGAGAGACCAAGTGACAGTAAACAGACTGTCATGGCCCCGGACAGAATCACCCTTTCAGAGCTGAGAAGATCTCTTGATATTTTTTCTACTTATATATTGACATATGCTTACAAAAGTACCTTTTAATCAAGATCTCTCCTTTTAATGCAAATCATCCTACTGACCATACACACAGTTAAAATGTCCTGCATATGAATTAGAGTTTTTATCACCAATTACCTAATTCATTTTGATCCAGTGATTATCACACCGTATTTCTGTTTTGTATCTCCCTCATCTCCCTCGGTGGGTACTCTAGGGCGTGACACACAAGATAGCCTCTCCGTTAATGTTCAAGGAAGAGGGTCTGAAATAGGACAGGAGGTAAGGAGGGGTGGGATAAGGAGAGACGTCTCCACAGCCAGTCTTCAGTTAGCTCAGGTGAGGTTCTGATGGCTACTCTGTTTGGCTGCTGTCATCTCTCAAAAATAAAGCCCACCTCAGTTTAAAAGCAGCAAAATAAGTAAAGGAATACAATTTGTGATAGTGCTTCAGGAAGCGATTCAGAGCACAGCTTACCATTTAGCATTTGCCATTGTGCCCAGCACTGTCTACTTTATATACGTCCTCTTTAATCTTCCAACTACCCCAAGAAAAGAATTTTCATCTTCATTCCATACAAGGAAAAACTAAAGTCTCCAGACGAAACATCTTGTCCAGAGTCATCGGGCAAGAAAGTAGGGTGCATAGCCCCGCTAGTTCCACAGCGACAGGTCCGTCATTGTGTGGTGCTATGAGCCAGCTGCTGCTAGAGCACGGAATACCAAACTGTAGTAAGTAGCTCCTGCTCCAGGTCCCCAAGGCCCTGCATCCACGCCACGGGCCTCCACACTGCCCCACCAGCTAGAAGCCATGGGTAATCCTTTCCCACAAGCAACTTTCCACACCCTGCTCCGGCACTGTGGCCATTGCCTGAGTCCACTCCGACTGGTCAGTGCCATCCTGAAGTGGTGACCAAACATATGTTCCTGTGTCAAGCCTTGTATCACACCGTGTTGCCTATCTCCAGGGTGTGGAGTGATTTAAATAGCCCGGGCTGGGCTTCCAGTCAACCAGCTGGCCTTCAGGAAGGCCACTAGATGAGCCACATAATTGCGACTCCTGCCTGGGCCTCTTGCAGTGTAACAAACTGCTCTGTGTCCAGCCATGCTCGGGCCCTGGGGAAGCAAGGCTCAGTCCTTTGGGGCACTAGGAGCAATTCCCAGAGGAAAACCGCACATCTTGCTCTTGTTTGTTTTGCTTTGCTTTTTAAGTGCTGGGGACTTGTCCTAGCTACTTTTCTCTTATTACTGAGACAAAATACCCGACACCCAAAGTTAAGGGGAAAGGTTTATTTAGCTCACAATTCGTAGAGGTGTCAGTCCACAGTCAGCTGGCCCAAGGCAGGGTGGCCTGGCAGAGGGGCAGCAGTTCTTGGTGGCAGAAAACAGCCAAAGCAGGAAGAGACTTTAACAGCATCTTTCTGCCCCTTTACCTTATCCAGACCACCTAGGGTGGGCGGCACTCGCACCCTTAGTCCTAGCGCCCTCTGGCCTAGCCCGGTACCAGGAGTCAGTCCTACACTGCAGCTCCAGCCACCTCTGAAAAAGCCCCAGCTAAGGCTGCAGAGGCCTTGGAGGCCCTCTGGATGCACCCGTAACAGGACTGAACCAGGGAGCACAGAGCTACACCCTGAGTCCCCCACTATTTTTTTTTGAGACAGGGTCTTACTAAGTTGCCCAGAATCAAACCCAAGATCCTCCTGCCTCAGCCCCCTAAATATCTGGGATCAAGGCACTGACCATGGCACCCAGCTCACACCCAGTTCTTGAGGAAACATTTCCCACTTCTCTCAACCCACATTTCATCCCCAGTCTGGCTTCAGCTCCCGCTCTGAACACGAGCAGCGCCAGGTGTGCGGCTGCGGAGACCCAGCTTCTGTGCGTGCTGGTGTGTAAGCGTCCTGCCTGCTGCTCATACTGTGGCTCGTTTGTTTTTCTGCATCAATTCATTTTCCACCCTCCTTATCTCATTACAATAAATGGGTAAGTGGTATCTCCAGCCATAAAGAAAAGGTAACCTTGCAAATTAATGTGTAATTATTAAAATAAAAATACTCAACCCTATGCCACCCTGAGATGATCTTACACACCCTTATGGTGCACCTAACCTGGGGAGGAAACAGGACTTGGGTGAAGACTCAGGCTACCAACTCAGACTGCACCAGGGTTGAGCCCCGGACCCATCACTTACCAAAGCACAGGACCTTGGACCCAACTCGGATCCTACAGACGTGGTTTCCACGTCTTTCCTAGGGACGTGATGACGGCACGTGATTGATACACATGAAGCTCTTCGCACTTCGCCTGACATGTGGCAAATATCTGGCCAAGGCCAATGTTCTAAATAAAGTAGTGGTGTGGATGGAGAATTGAGCAGGCCTGGACCCTGAGTGACCTGTTTCACGGGAAAGGTCTTGCTGAAATCGAGTTTTCTCTAGGATCCCTCTGTCTAGTCTACCGACTTATTTGTTCCCATTCTCCTTCAGGTATTTGGATTCTTGAACTTTATACTCTGGGCTGGAAACATATGGTTTGTTTTCAAGGAGACCGGCTGGCATTCCTCGGGACAGAGGTACCTTTCGGACCCAATGGAAAAGCACTCCAGCAGCTACAACCAAGACAGCTACGGGTCGGGCGGTGGGTACAGCCAGCAGGGGAGTGTGGGGCCATCCTCTGAGGAGTTTGGCCAGCCAGCCAGCGGCCCTACTTCCTTCACCAATCAGATTTAACAGGGTGGCATTTGATTTTCCTGGAGCTAGGCTCACCACCTTCCATCTCAGTGGCAAAAGAATTTTTTAAGAGTTTGCATCAATTATTAATGCAGAGTGTTGAATGTAAATCAGGGATCTGTAGTTCTCATTAAGGCAGAAAGGCCTGGGTCGTGATGAATGGAACTTAGAGAGGAGATGGCACGAGGGGATCTGTTATTCACCACAGATGGCTAATTGGAGAGCACCTTGTTACACACACACACTTTTATGGTGGTTTGTATGTATGTTGAGACAGTAGAAGCATTTTGTAGCTTAAAGTCTCTAGTGTGTTATATGCATAAGGTAAATTAAATAGTATTGAGTTTTCCTATGCATTTTGATGCAAAAGACATTTTAATGATTCCTAGACAACAACGTGATGTATCACAGCATGCGTGTATTTTTGTTTTCTAGTTCTAAGCCCTGTAGGACTGCAAGTCTCTGTTTCAGATAATTACTTTGTGTGTGTTTTTTTTAACTTGATGATCAATGCTTATATAATTTAGTGCATGAATAAGCATTTTCTCACACGATAAACATTCAAATTGTACTTAAGATTTTCCAGTTTGCACCATGAATTTGTTAAATGGACATTTAAAGAAAAACATTCACTACTTTGTATACTTTGCAAATTTGCCTCTCTGGCTTTACCCAAGTTCTGAATGCATTGTAACAAAACTTTGGGAGTTTTCCTTATTAGTAGACAGTGTTATGTATGGTAACTGCCCGACATTTACTCTATTCACTTAGCTAAATACCTACATTCCTGTGGTGTTTTGTGGTTATGTCCTGTGGACCGTAAATAAGAAGGCCCAATAATTGTCTATGCTTAGAGTGGTGTTTTCTTAGGTTACTTGGGATGCAGGTGCAAGATGCTGCTGTGCTGAAATATTCGTCTACAGGGGACTGTAGACATCCACGGCCAGCCAAACATTTAAATCGTATTTATTTGTAAAGTTAATATGGTCCTCAATCCAGTTATTAAAAATTCTCGGGTCACAGCACAACAGAATTACTAATTCTGATTTGAATGTAACCCACAAATTAAAAGTGGTTTCCATGGGCCACTGTGTATTCTAAAGAAGATTCTCACAAAACAGTCCCCAGAATGCGTTCATTACCAAGAAAATGCCAATCTTTGCCTTTTTATTTTTACTCAATTAAAACTCAAGTCCAACAGGAAGAGCAAGCTGAGCATCTGCATTTCCAGATAAAAGTCACTCTCGGTGTACAACCCCGCTGTGTGGTCTGTGATTTGGAAGCATTTTAGCACCAACAGCCTGTGTCTTAGATGATATCTGTCACAGTCCCTTGATCTGTTGGGTAAATCTGTATTGTGATGTTTATTTGAGCTTAATAAAGTGATTGCACACAATGCTGGCTGAGTGATGAAGAATTATAACAGCGAAACCTGGTTGGCCTTGCCAGGGAAAGAACACGTCTACACACAGCATCTCCACCCCAGGTGGCTCTCCTGGCCTGCTTTCTGAAGCGAGTGCGGTTGATGCTGTCGTGGCACCCTTTCAGCGTGCGTCACTTCCCCATGGAGAGACCTGCAGTGCACTCAGCAAGGCGCCCCGGGGGCACAAGATGAGCAGAAGCGATGGAAGCTTGCCTTCCATTAGGAGAAACAGACATTAAAATTACCACTCCCCATGTGCTAAGTGCTGCAAAGAGATGATGTGCGTGATTAGGAAGAAGCTCAGGAGCTTCAGACCTGGGTGCAGCGCAAGGTGTAATCAGGACAAGGGCAGGGAGAAGTCTCCCAGGCAGCGGGCGGCGGGGCCAGGAGGGCCGTGGGGCTGCTGAGGAAGGGCTGAGGGAGACCGGACCTGACCGCGGGTAAGGGCGGGGTGAACTCTGCCAGCCCTGATTGGGAATCCTCTATCCTAGGGGAGCTAGGGAGAGCACTGAGGGATTCTTAAACACGGGAGAGGCACAGAGAGCAGCACTTTGCAGTGGCTGCCATGTAGAGGGAAGTAGAAGAGGAAAAGGAAGAAAGACATCCTGGGGGTAAGGAAATAAGTTATGACTCTCATGTCTCTTAGACCGGGGTGGGGAGACAGGCACTGGCCTGAGGCCCTGTCCCTGATTTCCTGGGGCAGCAGCCTGACCCAACTGCTTTGTTCAGCACTGACCAGGAGGAGAGGGGTCCTGGCTTCATAAAGCATCAAGAACGCTCCAAAGCAGAGCCCCCACCCCCAGCAGTGACTTTGACCTTAGCAGTTCCACAGCATTTGGGGTTCTGATAAGTGGAAACACTCACTGCTCCGGCGGAGGTAGAGATGCACATCCACGATCCATTGCGGATTTCCGATACAGAGCTGCAGTAATCCAAGAGGGACTTCACTGACGTGGTTTTATTAAGTTTCCTTCAGTCTTAAGAAAGGAGCAGATTTGGCCTTCTGTAAAAAGGAGGAGTAATCAGTGCACGGGCTAAGGCTGGGCTATGGCCCACACCTGATTCGGGATCTCGGCTTCGCCGCTCACTGCTGGAACTTGCGGTTTGAATTCACTTTCCTGAGCCTTCGTTTCCTCACATGAAAAGGCTGGGGTCTCAGGTCAGACCTCTGGGGTAAAATCCCTGCACTGCTGTTTATTAGCACCCCTTTGCTTCCTCAGTGTACCCCCCAAAGCCCTGGGTGCTCCTGAAACCATGCCCAGCTGTAAGGAACTAAGAAAGTCAAGGCCCTGGGACACCTTCAACCTGGGGCATGTGGGCTGGTAGAGAAGGCCTCGGGCAGGCGACTCTTCCCACTCTACCCTGGGCCATTTCTGCCACGGGGATGACGGTGGTCCCGGCACAAGGGACTGGTATCAGACGAACAGGGTGAGGAACCTGGCAGCTCCAGGCACCCAGTGGGTACCTCCAGGTTTGGGTTCCCTGAACGCACAGCCTGAGACAGGTGTGGTGCAGACCGTGTGGGAGGTGACTTCTGCAGGTGGCAGTGAGTGGAGAGAATGAGGCAGGGAAGGAGCAGGGACAGGTCCCAGGGGTGGGTGCCGGGGCTGAAGGCCCTTTGGGCTGCCTGGGTCCTGTTCAGAAGGTTCCGGCAGTTTCTCAGTGGGAGCAGGGCCTGCCCTCCCTCTCCACCCGCCCTGCCCTGCAGGGTGGTGAATCCCTGCCACTCCGGGTCGCACATGCCTGCAGACTGGCCGCACTGCTGACACGTCAGACACCCCCAGCCCTAAGATCTATCGGGTAGTGGGCTGGGGCAGGGGATCCAGGAGTCTCCCACCTTCCCTTCCCTCATTCCTGGAGACAGCCAGCTTGAGGACAGACACAAGAGGACGTGTGTGTGCGGGAGGTCACTGCCAACACATGCAGCAGTGATCTGTCAGGCGGAGGCTGGGATTACGGCCTCACAGGGAGAGCAGCACTGACCCGAGTCCATCTGCTGCAGTGACCCTCAATCCATGAGGCTGTTCTCCTCCTTCAGGCCAGGAAACAGCTGCGGTGACCACTCATCGGGCAGTGAGGAGAACGGCCCTGCTGCATGTGCAAAAGCTGCGTGCGTGCCACGGCACAGCCGTCTTCAGCAGGTTGGCGCTAGGGAGTTGAATTAAATGCAGAGGATAAATCTACCCCACATGTGTATCATCCCAAGTTTTCATAAGTCACACTTCTGCAGTGAGCAAAATACAGTCCCTGACGTCTTCAGAGCTTACACTCACAATTGGAAGAATCAAATAACAGACGAGTAAACAAAGCAAACGTGTAAGAATAAATTTTGATTGACGGTTAGGAGGCAGAAACAAGGGACAAGGCCCGGAGGAGTGGAGTGGTCAGTCAAAGCTCTGATTTTCAAGCTGAGACTGGAAGGCATGAGGAATGAGAAGAGACACCCTGGGAAGAGCCTAAGGTGGTGACCACCCAATGCCTTTGCAGGTTGGATAAGAAGAAACTAGTGGGCTGGGACATGCAAGGGCAGGGGCCAGGGTTTTGGGCTGCAGTCAGTTAGGAGAGACCCCAGAGGATGAGGAAATAAGCTCATTCTAAGAGAAGCAGGAAGCCCCTGGGCAGACAAAGGCAATACCCACGGTTCAGCTGTCACTTTGAAAAGATCCTTCTACCAGTTTCCTGGCTTGTGTATTATCCTCTAGTTAGTTAAGATGTCAGCCCTGGGAGAAACTCAGGGAAGGGTTCCTGGGATTCCAGGTACTATGTTTGCAACTTCCTATAAATGGGAATGCCAAGAGTAGATTAATTCATCAGTTAATTCACTTGCCATTTATTAAGTTCCTACCATGGGCCAAGCTCTGTTCTAGAAGCTAGGGATACAGACTTTGAATAGATGAGGTTTGAAGAAGATAGACATTATCTGCATGCTTGTTGGGCAGGCAGGCATACGAAGGTAAAGAAATGAGATAGACTGAAACAGTGTTGAATGTCAAGAAGGAGGTAAGGGGATGGCAGGAAGGACAGCAGCAGGGGTGAGAGGGGACGGCGGAGCCCGGGAGGGCAGAAGGCCCTGAGGGAGAACGCGCAGCCTGATCCAAACGAGGGCCAAGCTCCGGGCAACAGCTGGGGTCGGCGGCCAGGTCGTAACCTGTGTGGAGATGGATTAAATAACTGGAGAGGACCACAGCCTCCTTCCATCGAGCACTTGGTGCTTTCAAAAGTCTAACACCCTTGATTTCGTTTGACCCCCTCAAGAGCCCAGCAGAAGGGCGAGGCCATGGTCTCCTCTGGAAGCTGAGTGATGGGGCTTGATTCCCCCAGAGGCGGACCTGAGACAAGAATCCAGGTGCAAGTAAAGGCTAGGAGAGAGGACCCGAGAGAGGGGAGCTGACAAACATGCGTGCTGGAGAAGGTGGGGCCCACGGAGAACATGAACCGCAGAGCAGAACCCAGCCACGGCCCAGACCTGGGCGAGGCAGCAGTGGCTCTCATCAGCCCTCCTGTCCGTCACCGGAGGACGGCCGCTTCGGAAGGTGACCGTGCCCCGCACCTGGGACCCTCCCCGGACATGAGCTGTGCCAGGCAGAGAGAGCTGTATTGAGCATGGTGAGTGCTGCCAGGAGGGAGTCAGGTCAGCACTCACACTGGGCTGAGTTCAGAGGGACACCAGGGGCCACTGACGGAGCCGCGCTGGGGGCAACAGTGTCAGGGAGCTGGCCAACCGGAGACCAGGGAAAAGACTCGAAGGTAAGTCCCTTTGCTTTTGGCCGTAAAACATGTTTTTCTCCATTAATTCCCTGGCATACCCCATGTATACAAACAACTTTAACCCCAGTATGCCATATGATTTTACCCAGAAAGCCAGGGATCTAGCTCAGTGCCACCACGCCTGCCTTGCAACCACAAGGTTCTGAGTTCAATCCCCAGTACTGGAAAAAACAGACAAACAAGGATTTTACCTAGATGTCCAAAGACACAATTTTAATAATATCTATGAAGCAATAACTTTACAATGATTTAGGCAGCCAGTGAACTAAATAAGCACTCTGCACTTAACCCTAATAACACAATGCTAGCGATACTAGTATCATTCCTATCCAACAGGTTAGAAACCCAAAATTCAGGGAAGTTAGCTAAGGATGAAATCTTTGTGAGTACCTTCACCAATAAGGTAATTTTTAATTGCTTCTGCCTACAGTGTACCTATGTAATCTTCACAGAGAACTATATTACACATTCTACATCCATTCTCATATTTAATACTTAGAGGAAATGCAAGATAAAATGCCACTGATCACATGAGAAAACAGAAGATGAGAGTAGGTGACCTGCTCGGGTCACCGAGGTGGAAGTGGGAAGATCCACCAGATGCAGAACCCCAGGACTCTGTGCATCCAGGCCCCTGCTGTAACGTGCCTGTCTAGACCACGACAGTGCTACCTCACCATCCTATTTATTACCTTTTAAGCCAGCTGTGTTTGTCTGTCCAGCAAGGGTACAGCCAACAAAGATCCAGACCACTGAGTGCTTCGCTGAGCTTTCCTTGGGACCCTGGGCTCCTGGCAGCTGGAAGGAAAGCTTTTGTCGGAACCATTTGCCAATAAAGCCAGGCCTCATTCTTGAAGTTAATCAAGTTGCTGAGACTGCTAATGGCCCAGCCGAGCCAATAAGGGTTTCATAACATGCTTGACCGAGCCGCAGCTATGCTGGGCTTCGGGGCTTAGCAAACGCTTTGAGCAACTGTCAACAGCCACCGTTTCCAAGGGTGGCCCTGGAGAGCAGCCTCTGTGAGTGATCCGAACTGGTGTAGGAAGGCCAAGGTGATCATAGTGTGAGCCTCAACTATCTTCCGGGAAGTCTTGCATTTGTCTGAAGATATTTTAACTCTAATTGAGTATTTCCTTGAAACAGACAGGGCCCACTATCTGTGCCCTGGTTTATTGAACAAAACACTGGAAGGCAGCCATAGTAAG